TTGGGGGGGGGGGGGGGGGAGTTTCCACACCTGGGCCGTGATGGTCTCATGGAAAGGAACCACCCACCATTGCTCAGCACAAGGGGCCCTTACAGAACTGTGGCTTCAATCTGTCAATCATCTTCCTATCCACTGAAGAATCCACCATTTTTGTCCTGTGGCAAGCAAGCCAATGCAAAAGCCTGCAGGCAAAAGAAACCAGGCAAATGTGCACAAATGTAGAGTGTAATCCTTTTGTGAAAATGTTGGGTGCTCTGACCACTTGAACTTAAAATTTTGTGCAGTCCGTTGATGTTGAAAGAAAGAGGGGAAGAAGCCAATGAGGGGGAAGGTCAAGTAGTGTGTCGATGGGTCCTTCTGAGGCTTTTTTGTGTACTGTGTTTGCACATTCAGTGTGAGCAGTGTTTGCTGATGCAAATGACCAAGCTGTTTTCCCTCACCAAACAAATGAGCTTCCCTTTACCTTTTGCCCCCGTCCAGCCTATTTTGCCATTCAGGTGATCGCCTTTCGGCGGAAGTTCAAAGTCTCTCCTCCCATCACTTCAGGCCCACCAGAATTTGAAAGGATCTTCAGAGCCCAGTAAGCTGAATTTTTTAAAAAACATATTTACTGCCTTTAAAATGCATTTAGAATAAACTATCAAGCTGTTACCTTTTAAGGTTAATGATGTTATGCACAGTGCATAAAAGATATAAGGACAAAGTCAAATAAAACATGATAAAGGGAGGAGAAGAAGAAAATATAGCTAAATCTAGTTTATAGTAACACCACTCACTAGAGCTTTTCATGTGTTTGTGAGCCCTTGCTTTTTGTTCTTTAAAACTTCTCTTTTCTCTCTTTTTCAGGATCTCATCCTCTCCATCCAACTATGACTTTCTCAGATTTCTTCCTCTCAATCCATTCACTCTTCCTTCATATATTTCTTTTGTAATTTGATTATCATTAGTTCTCTCTGTATGGTCAAACCACTTCAACAGATTTCTTTACTCCACACACTTCTCAAGTATTCCCTTCCCACCGTATCCAGCTTCCTTTCACATTTGTCTTGATAAACCCAACTCGCAGCCCCCATATAACAAAGTAGGTAGAAACATGCTCTCATAATCCATTTTCAGACTGCAGTTTTGCAATGAACATTTGGCATTAAAAGGTCACCTTTCTACTTCTGCCCAAAAGGGAAGATCTTGACCAATGTTGATTATGTGGAGAAACTTGGAGGTCTGGAAAACTCTGGTGGTCTCTTCCTCTCCTTTGGCTTCCACAGAAGTGTTCAAACTGTTTTAGAATATTGTACATTTTATGTAGAAAATGCCTGTAAGAATCCTCACTAATGGCAGACAATGAAACACAATGTGTTCCTTTAAATTTTCTGTGGGAGAAATTACTTTCAGGAGCAAAGCTTTAAAGGTGTATAAAGTAATTATTCAAAGGATGATAAAGCTTGTCATAAAAGGTTGTTGGTAGGTGTCCTGTCTAATTTTCACATGGCTGGTACTTTGTGTTTGATGAGAAAAGATAAACGCAGAAAGGTTTTTCAAAACAAAATGCTGTTTTGTGACAACTACAAACTACATCCTACACATTTCAAGGAAACACCTTTCTCCTTTCCAAAGAACCAGTGGGTGGGATTGATTGGTACTGAGCAAGAAAGGGAGGAAATGAGTGCTTAGTTTTCTTGGTGTGCGGCTGATTCACTTTTCGCCTGAAGTTTCCTGCTTCCAGGGATGTTCCAGATAACCTTCACCGACATGGGACAGCCTCCAAATTCTCTAGCCAGCATAGACACTGCTGAGAATTCTGGGAGGGGAAGCCCACACAGCTAGAGGGTAGCCAGGCTGAGAAACACAGCTCCAGACCCATCAAGTCAAACAAAAGTGCCCAGTTCCTCGCATCTGTTCATAAACGGATGTATGTGCTGTTTGCTAGCTTTAAAATCAAATGGACTGGATTTTCAACCTGCTATCTTCTGGCTTTGGCTGTTCCAAAGATATGTGCACTTGCTAATCATGTACTTGAATAATTGCAACATGATGTTTCTAAGATGACTGGCAGCTCCAAAATGTGGTTTCGATTAGTTCAAAATGTGGTTTCAGTTGGTTCAAAAGGCAACCAGAGGGAATATGTACTATTTTTACTGAGCAAACTGCACTGACTTCCTGCTTATTTCTGGACATCATTTAACCTGCTATTTGTAGTTCATCCATACTCAGAGATCAGCTGATGAAGCTCTGCTTCCAGCTTCCTGTTTTATTTGAGGTTTGGTTAGCTTTTAATAAGGAAGGGCCTTCTCAGTGGAAATGCCCATATTTTTCAACCTTCCCCTCTAGGAGAAGTTAGTTAAAATTGATCCATTTTCAGATCCAGTCAGATAATGGTCTATTTGTGATCAGTGGTCTATGAAACTCCTTCTGATTTCTTCACCCACATATCACCACCTCCTGAACAGCACAGAAACCATATCCAATCTATTGCAATTCAATTAGTATAAAATAAGGTAGGTAGGAGGATAGACACTGGAGTGAACAGTTATGCTTCCTTTATGCCAATATTGGAACAGATTCCAGGCCTACCTTATTTCCCTACAAGATCCTCCATGCTAGAGATCATGATATTTACAGGCATATCACCTCCTATATAGTGGTACCTAACCTCTGAGATAATCATCAGAGGCTCAATTTTGAGTGCCCTCGCATGTTCTGGGCAAGAAACTCTAGAACAGTGCATTTTTTAAAGTGATAGGACCTCCTCCTGCCCCCCCTCTCCACTTGCCACTGCTAAGGAATACCATCTTCAAACAGGTCGACTAATGCCTACTCTGTTATCTTTTCAGCAGCAGATAAAGCTCATTTTATTTTCTTTCATCTTCTAATTTCCTTGCATGCAATGTGGCATTTTATTCCTGTGGCTGCTTTATTGTTTTAACAGTTTATTTATGTTGCTAAAAGAGATTCTGCTATAGAATGATAAAGATTAGAACTAATTATAAGCAATTCCTCTTTAAAACTTATCTTTTCCATAAAACCTCAGAGGCAAATGCCCAGTTGCTATGCCTACCTGTAATTATACCTCAATACTATAATCATCATGTCTTCCAATTTCCTCACCTCCATTTTGGTACCATTTATTTTCTTGTCTCTAGTTGGTCAGATTTTAGAATGTAAGCCCACTTTATAAACAAAACCCTTTTATTTCTGTACTCAAAAGGAGTTTTCAATTGTTATTACCCACCAAGCATGCAATTCTGCAATACAGCCACGATCATAGTGATTATTTTTTTTTAGACTTGAACTGAAAATCCCACTTTTCAGAATATGGGAAATAATGCATGGCTTGCAAAAATACATGTGACTGCAAAATAGCATAGAGGAGAAATGTTCTGAAAATGTGGACAAGTGTTTGTATAAAGGGTGGTTTGAGATAAATTTGTGAATGGATGCAGAAATGGGCTGAAATGAACATACAGGTCAAGAAAATGGGGATTGGAGCAAATATGAAAGTAACAGATTTGCTCAGTCCTAATTATTTTTCCTAATCAGCAGTCTCATTATTTTCTTCTTTGTTTTATCAGAGTAAATTGCTCAGAATATTTCCCAATATTTCTCTCACTCTTATGGGTGGCTGGAATCTTTTCCCATCAAGGTAAGAAATAAAACCCTAATTCAGAATCTCTTAATTGTGATGACCTCTTTGCTTACAAAACTATAGAATAAGTAGTGAACATCTGGAGAACTTTTTTTTAATTTCTCCACAGCTTTTTACTTTTATTGTTAATGTTTACCTAGTGTTACTGCATTGTAGATAAAGAGTTAAGTATTAAAATTGGGGGGGGGGGTTCTGAGTTTTCACCAGGGGAGGGCCCAAGCTTGCAATAGTAGAGATGACATAGATCAGGTTTCCTGTACTGTTTTCTGTATCTTCAGCTGACTTATGTCACACCTGCACAGGGGCTCCCACTTCATTTGATTGCCCAAAAATGCTGTGGTGCATCTACAGCCAATTTGTTTTCCACTGTTGACCAAAAATGTACTAGCTGTGAATGAGGTAATAGGCCAACCCATATGAGAACACCAAGATGAAGGAGGCTGGTTATAAGTGAGACACTATTGCTGTTGAAGTACAGACTTATTGTGTCTTGCTGTACTCTTAGATTTGTCAAAAGTTTCATGAAAAATTTGAGTAAAATAGATAACATGTGGATCAGGCTAGTGTAGGGAAGAACAAGTATTCTGTAGGCTCAAAGAACATGAGAAACCAAGAATTATACTATTTGCTTCTGCCTAAAAATCTTTACAGTTGTGCTAGTATGCAATGGCAGGAGCTAGAGAAAAGTGCTCCTTGACATGATTTAAATTCCAGGCAGATGGCTATATTAAGTCTGCCAAAGCAAACAGGCCAAGAACAGGTCAGTTGTTTTTCTTCCCAAATGTTTTTGTGATATTGTTTTTGTTGTTTTTTTCCCCCTTTGCTTTGTTTTGATGTCTCTAAGGTATAGTGTGTTTCCTAGAGTTGCTTTGGCAATTGAGACAGCTTATAAGTAAATTAATTAAAAATAAAGGTTGATAGACAAATTGTGACATAAGATTATTTTTTTTTATTAGTCTTCAATCAGTTGTCCCAAAAGTTGTTTTCAAGCAGGACTCTATGGAACTTTATTGTCTGTTTCATCATTAAGGCAAGGCTGGTGTGAATCCTCTTAAGCTATAAAAGTTCCCACCACTCCAAGTATCTGGTGGATGAGCCTCTATGCATGGTTGTTTCTTGAGCTGGGGACAGGCAGGACTAGCGCCTTCGCTCTATATTTAGTAGTGGCAGCTATGCCTCCTTTGTCACTCCATCAGTGCAAAAACAATGGCGTATATCCCAGCGTCATGCTGCAAAGCCCATTTGTAGTACAGTACTTGTGTCCTGATGTTGTGTTGCCTCAGGAAGTCTTTAAAAAAACAACAACAAACCTTTTTATGTCTCCTGTTGAAATCAGCATTTGGTAGACTTTCCAAGTAACTGCTTTGATTACTGCCTTCTCTGTAGCTTTGGCTGCATTCTGTGGACTAATTTACCTCTACGCTCGCTATCAGTACTTTAGAGGATATGCACATTCTGCTGAAAGAAGGTGAGTAATTCTTGTGCGAAATACATCAAGTAGATTGCCCTTCAGACAAGTAATTTTGCTGATATTCAGCCTGGCTTTTGTAGCCTTGAGAGCAACATAAATCCATCTCTGAACTTGACTGCTTTAGGCTGCAGGCAGGTAACATACTGTAAGAGAATGTTTTCCAGTGCAAGAAACATCCGTTGCACAAAACGAATTAGGGGTGTGTGTGTGTTGGGGGGGTCCTAACTCCCTGACTCCTGAGTAACCACCAGGAATGTGCTAGTTTTATATTTAACCACATGAGCTCTCAAGAGGTACAGATTTGACAGAATGAGCACTTCACTGAGAATTAGGACAAAGAAAATACAGCATCTTGGAAGATCTATTTCATGCTACATCATCTCCCCCTCATAACATTTTAAGAAAAGGAACAGCCAGAAACAGGCATGATCTTGCCTTTCTGTGGTTAGTCCAATAAGATAAGGTATATATACAATTGTGTATGTCTAGATCAGCTCAAGGGCGTCCCATGCCTGGTGAGTTTTGAAGGATAAGTGTCTGAACTTGACAGGTTACTACAGGAAGAAGAATCAGAGCTGAGGATGACCCTAGTAGTTGCAAATCTATCTGTTAAGTTTGCTATATGGATGTTTTCTAGTCTTTTTTCAGGTAGCACAGCCCATATCCGCAGGAAGCTATTTGTGAGAATGCTGGCATTACCGTGGCAATGGCCCGCCTCACTTAACTCACTCTAGCTGTTTTGCTCTTTCTGCACAGGTTGGGCCCCATGTATTTCAGCACCGGAGTTCTTTGCGTTCTTATCGGGCTGTCCGTGGTGGGATTACTTGTCCATTTTGTCCGACGCTTTTGATTCCTTAAAAGTGCTTCTAAATCAGCCATCCATCCCTTCCAACTGACAAAAAACTCAGCAATTACACCATCATTCTCAACTTTCGTTTCTCTTTTTTCCAAATTAAAATAGTTTTGTACATCAGCTTTTTAAAAATATAATTCTGTAGTAGTGTATTTTAGTTTACTGTTAATGTTCTTATGGCTTTCACCACAGTAGTATCATTATACTGTATCTATTTCCTGTGGTAGAAAAGAATATTTAGATTATAACAGATTTAGATTTACAAGGTAGGATTCTGAATAATACATGTTGTACTGTTAGGCTAGTCTTTTTTTGATGCTTTGAACAAGGAATATGGAACAGCAAGAGGGCCAGTGGAGGTCTGGATTGAATGCAGTTGGAATCAAAGTCTTGTATTAAGGATGGGATCAGGTCTGCTAAAAGACAGAATTAGGTCTGAATCAGGCCAGCTTGAAATTATTGTTAGGAACCATGGTTGAAACCAAAGTTTCTTTTAAAGAGCCCCAATTGGGCTTTTCTCTGTTCAGAAAAGACACACTGAGTTGCAAAAATAAGGTTGTGTATGAATAAGATTGATTGATTGATTGATTGATTGATTATATTTATTCGGTCAATGACCAGCAAAAGTATGAATAAGTTCGTGGAAAGGTTTGGAGGATAAGACATCAGAGAAATGCTTTATATGGTGAGATACTATTTTGAGGTTTGAAGCAAGCCCAAGAAATATTGCAACTACTTTCCTCATAATTAAAAATATCAATTAAACCCACACAATTTTCCTTTGTTTATAGCACCTTCTAATCATGAAAGAATATAGCAATTGTAAGAACTTAATAGACTTTATAAAATCAGAATATAGCCATACTGATTTACCTAGTTGCTGCTTAAATGTATTGAATTTTTTGTGGTTGATTAGTTATGTGCTATCAAGTCAGTGTCAACTCTTAGTGACCACACAGATTTTCTCCATGATGATCTCTCCCTAACCTGGTCCTTCTTACTTGTTATTGGTTTTCTCACATGATTGTATTTCAATGCTGCACTCTGTTACAGAGGAAAATGTTCTCTCTTATATGAGACCAAAAAAGTGTGATTTGACTCAAAATTGTACACAATTTCTATAACAGTGGACAACTGCTTTAATTGGTTTTGATATATATTAGTGACAATATATTTTGACAATAGTCATCTTATATTTTGCTTTTTTTGTTGCATTCTAGATTTATTTTATTCTAATTTCTAATCTTAAACCAAAGGCTTCTGAGGCTCCAACTGAAAGGTATAGTCCAACCTAGATAAATTTAACTTAATGCCACAAAGAAAATGCTTGGAGTGGGCAATTTTATGTCTTAGCAGAAGAGTCTAGATATGAGAATAAGTATGGAACCTAGGAAATGAGTAAGATTTTGGTCCAACCATCAATTGGTATGTCACCTTATTGACCAACCCTGTGACGTATCCAACAGCCAATGAAAAGCTAAAGTTGAAGAGGATAGCCATTAATTTTCTCAGGATGGGACTGCCTAATGGATACAGGAAATACTACCTCCTTGAGAATGGAATGTTTTCCTGCCTGCTTAAAGAGGCAGTTAAAAGACTTTTATTGAAAAAATCCTCCCTTGACTGGGAAAATCTCTATAGTTAAAGGCTTCTAGTCTCTGGACTAGAACATTCCCAAGGAGGTATGTTTGGCCCACTCTCTCCCAGTATTTAGGAAAATACTCTTTTACCATACCTTTCAACTATTAAGCTGATTTTGTCTCCGTTATAATTCTAATTGTCTTGATTTTATTCTTATCTTTTCTCTTTTGTATTTTTATTGTTATAAAACAGTTAAAAGCTTGGGAATTGTAGGTACTATTTAACTAAAGCTTGATCCCATGTAACTGGGTGGATCCAGTCTATGGTGGGGGAGGAGTCAGGCCCTAGGATGCTCTGTTATGGAGACACATAGGGGCTTAGTCTTCTTCCCTATCCTGGTTACTACCACATGAAGTCGGAAGAAGTCATGTAAGTTCAGGATGTGGTATCATCAATACATTGACGATCCCCAGTTGTACATCTCCATTTTAGGCAAATGGAAGATGCAGAAGATGTCCTGACCAGTGTCTGGAGGCTGTCAGGGTCTGGATGGGGAGAAACAGGCTCAGAATCAACCAAAACAAGTTGGGGTGGCCGCTAATTTAGAAATTAATGGTTTCTGGGATTATAACATTTTTAAGCTTACTGAAGTTGTGTTGCCACAGAAGAAGCAGACTGGCAACCTGGGAGTCCTCCTGAATTCATAGCACCTACTAGAGGAGCAGTTGGATGCCATGGCAAGGAAAGCCTTTGCTTAGCTTAAGCTAATGTACCAGTGTAGTGGTAGAGGTCCTACTGGAAGATTGGCAAGGTAGAAATGGACAGTGATGTGTGCCAAATTCTATATTTCCATATAATAGCTGCCCAGTGAAATATATTTGAGTATTCAGCACACTAGATCAGTTAACTTCAATATCTATTTTGTTTATCTTGTCTCATCCTTGGCATGCAACTGGTACAACCCTCTCCATTCTTGGCTAAAACCGCCTGGTGTAAACAAGGCACTCCTTGCCCTTAATGTGGCCTTGTTCTTGGCCTAGATAAGCAAAGCCTTTCAAGGATAAGAAAAGATAAACTTCTCCTTGTTCTTGGCAAGAGCAGGTGGACATGCTGATAAGATACACCAATCCACCCTGTCCTTGTAGAGATGAGCAGACATATATAGGTGTCATTATTACCTATGGTCTATATAAACCAGTCAGAAGTCCCTGTAGAGTGGAACTTCAGAGCAGACCTAACTAGGGAGTTGCTGTACACTTGTTGGCTTGAAGTTTCCTGACTGGCAAAAGGGGTGCAAGATTTGTATTTCTTAGATATTAGTATTATACTCTTTGTAAGATTTCATTGTTTCTTAGATGATAGGATTATACTCTTCATAAGCTGTATTTGATTGTTTTTTTCCCTTGTTTTTCATATTGCCTTGGAATAAAGCCTTTACCCATACTGGTATACTTATTGCCTCTGAATCCAAAAGTAGGTGTAACTCAAACAGGGCAGCCAGTCACCTGGAATAGGATGTACAGTTAATCCTCAAATTATGACGGCAATTGGGACAAGCATTTCCGTTGTAAACGATGCAGTTGCAAAGCAATGGCAATCCTGGTTACCGTCATAACCCCGAGATTGGGTGGGTCATTAAGAGAGGACTTCATGTGACTGGAGTCCTAGGCAAGCAGTGCCACAGGTGGGCACTACTGAACATGTGTGGGCTGGTGGGAGCTGCAGGCGGGTCCTATGGAGCACAGGCAGGCTGGTGGGGGTCGCAGGTGGGTGGGGGAATGTTGTGGAGTACAAGTATGCTGTACAGAGTTTCTCAGGAGAAAAGAGGTGGCAGTGACTTACGGGAGTGACTTGCGACTTTCTCTGCCGGCTTCTCCTCTGATTTTGCTTGTGGGAAGCTGTCAGGGTAGGTTGCAAATGGCAATCAAGTGACCACAGCTTGCTGCAATGTCGTAATTGCAAGCCGAGCAACTGAACACTACAATCGTGATAATGTGACCATGGGGATGCTGTGATGGTTGGAATGCCGAGGACTGGTCGTAAGTTCCCCTCCTTCAGCACCGTTGTAACTTTGAACAGTCACTGAATGAGTGGTCATAACCCGAGGACCAGCTCTTATGAGGAAAGTCAGTCATATCCTGGTCATCTTTTGTTAAATTACAGTAATTCACTCTACATGGGGCTGCCCTTGACTGCCCAGCAAACTTCAGCTAATCTAAACTGCAGCAGCCCATATTTATATTGGTCAGTCTTATTACTGACAAATCACACCACTGAATATCTGCCACAAAGGATCTAACCAGGTACAAAGCTCTGATGTACCAGACTACTACCTGCCACTTGTATGCTCCTGCTGCTGCTTACCTCTGCCCTTTCAGATCCATTTAAGGCCCAGAGGGATCTTTGGAAATAAAGGTGATGCTGGAGGTTGGCCATGTATTACAGAGCATGACAGCTTCCTATTTTCTTCTAATTAAAATAATGTCTTAGAAATGTAAAAAGTCAACTGAAACAGAAAGCCTAGTGAGTGGCCTAAAGATGCCTAAAAGTATACTGACATTCCTCGATGTTAAGTTGGGAATCGTGGTTCTAAATCTTTTTGACAGATTGAAAACAAAGAAATCACCAGATTTGGATGGTATTAACTTAAGAGTTTTAAAAGAAATCAAATGTGAAGTTGCAGCTCTTCTAATAAAATATGTTCCAGGTCTCTAAAATAATCTGCTTACCAAAGAGTGAAAAGTGACCAATATAAAGACTCAACAAATTATAGGCCTGTTAGATTGCTTTGCTTAAATTAATTGAAAAGATTAGTAACGTTCATGGAAGATAAATGTTCTGCAATCTGCATGGAAGGGTCTTCCCATTGCCCAATGCATTAGATGAGATGGGCATCTGACTGGATCCAGCAAGGCTGCTAGGTAAGAGTCTGCACATTCAAGGCCTAGGAAAGATGAAGGTGAATTATAAATTATAAAAAACCATTTATTAGGGGACAAAACACCTATCTTCTGATTTATAATGGGTATCTAAGGAAGTGAAATGCCCAGTTTCGGTATGCTAATATTCTTTGTATTGCACAGACATTGGCATGCAGAGGAAATGGCTAAGTTTTGCTTTTAATAAAAGTTTTCCCCCTTGCAAAAATATCTCTTGGCTATAGCTATACCTTCATGCAAAAAGACAAATCATTCACATACTTATAATATACCTGCAAAATATTTTCAGTTTGTCAGATTTCTCTGAAGGAAAATGCAGTAAAGCACTTTCTACAGTGTACCTTTTTTTATATATATATATATATGTATGTATACATGTATGTATGTATATACACACACACACACACGCATACTTGAAAAAAAATCAAATGTATCCAATAATAAAAAATACAGCACATGGAAGTAGTATAATGCATTCCAGTGTATAGCTAGAGACATTGGTTTTTTGTTTTAAATTATACTCTAA